CCGAACTAACTGCCCACGCCTACACGCGGCAGTCAAATGTTAACTCGGACTAAGTCCTTAGTTTGAGTTAACTGTTATGCCTCGTTATAACATCCCCAGGCAGGACTCTGCACTTGTCCTTGTTGAACCTCATCATATTTCCTTTGGCCCAATCCTCTAATCTGAACCAATCCCTGCCCTCCAGCATATCTACCTCTCCCCCTAGCTTAGTGTCAGCTGCAAACTTGCTGAGGGTGCAATCCATTGAGACCAGAAATTCTGTCCAAATCAATTGCCTTTGAAATGAGACAGTTAATTTTTTGGTCTGTTTCATGGTCTTTTCGGCCAGCAGGTATCTTGTCTCTGCTACTTTCCTGTGAAATCAGTTGTTTTCCGATAATTCCCCTCTGAGATCAGAGTAAGACTGCCCTAATATACTTGTTTTTCCTGTTGTAAAATAAATATTGTTTCCCTCATGCAATCATCTCAAAATCCCTCCAGAAGAAATTTCAGGGGACATTGAATCATTTCATAGGAAGGAGAAAGACAGACATCCATTTCTGTAGAAGGGAATAAGTTGTAAGTACACCAAGAAACCTTGCAGAATCCAAACAATCAGGTTTCCTGAGATAATTGAGGTCTGTCAAAAGTAGACAAGAACAGAAATAAAGTATAAAGAGTTTTACCTTATCTCAGAAAATAGAAAGGAGGAATTAAGGTGAAGGTTTTTCCTAATATGTGACCTAAATCTCCCCCACTGCAATGTGAGCCCATTGCTCCTTGTTCTGCCATCTGCCCCCACTGAGAACAGCCTCTCTCCAGCCTCTTTGGAACCCCCTTCAGGAAGTTGAAGGCTGCTCTCGAATCCCCCCTCACTCTTCTCTTCTGCAGAATAAACAAGCCCAAATCCCTCAGCCTCTCCTCAGAGGTTATAGGCTCCAGCCCTCCACTGTACCCTCTCCAATGCATCCACATCGTTTCTGTAGTGGGGACCGAGAACTGGACGCAGTACTCCAGATGTGGCCTCACCAAAGCCGAATAAAGGGGAATAATCACTTCTCTGGATCTGCTGGCAATGCTCCTCCTAATCCACCCTCATATGCCATTAGCCTTCTTGGCTACAAGGGTGCCCTGATGACTCAACTCCAGCTTCTCATCCACTGTAATCTGAAATTTATCATACTCCATTTTGTACTCTTAACCTCCATTTTGTGTATCTGGCTTCCCTCTTGAGAAAGCAGGCGTCATTTCACCCCCTCTAAGCTACAATCACTTACCATCGAATGGGAAACAGCGCAGGAGTAGAATGAGGTACAACCACAAAGTGTTTCTAGATGGTTGAGGCCATGGGTTAGATACTAAGGGTGACTAACGGTCACTATGAAAAAGCCAAGGGGTTAGTTGAAAATTGTCGGGGTAGATCATGCTTTTATCAGGGGTTGGATTTCCAATGTCTTCCAAGTGGTTTCATTTATTACACTGGTGGGCCAAACCTCAGGCAAGACAGATTAAGATGGTGCTAGGCAGGTTGTTTAGGGGCAAACCCTGATTGTTAGGGTTACAGAATCAGTATAAACGTGTTTCCCGGCATCCAGTGATCAGGACAAGGCCATCTGTGTTCCCCAACGCCTCTCTCTTGGGCCAGTTCCATGCGTGTGCTCTCCAGAAGATGTGTCAGAACTACAGCCAAGAACAGCATTGGGCTGGCTGATTTTCTTTGTTTATAATTAGTTGGAGCTCTGGGAACGTATGAGATCTTCGTTCTTTTGTATCAAGTGGAGAATATATTACTAATGTGGCTATTGTTTTAAGCAGAGCCTTCCAGAGTTGCCAAAAATAATTAGGCTGGCTTGAAAATTTCAGGACCTACTTACCTACCTACCTACTTTTCTATCTTTTATTGTCAGTCTAGCTTCTATTATCTACTTGTCTGTTTGTGTTTCTATGTCATTTATCTTTATCTCTCTTGTATCTGTAGTTCTTCATGGAGGGCTGGTCAGGATTTACTGCCGAGGTGTCCTCACAGGTCTCTGGCTCCGTCAATGATGATAACCAGAAGGCTGCTTGCGTGTGTGCTCAGTGATGTGGGCCACGTCAACTTGTGTACTTAGTCTCCACAGCAGATCCCAAGAGAGCCCCAGATAAGGATGGTCAGGTTTACTATAGAGCGAAGTACAGTCACAGTTGTCAGTAGACTCTACGGAACCACTACGCACGTGGACTTGTCACAATGGAATGACTCAATCGGTGGGAGACCCTACTGTCCCTTAGGTCATTCAAAGGCTGTCCCCCCAAGGCACCACCTTATATACAGATACAAGTCACACCTCACTGCTGATGTATCAAGTTGCTACCCTCTGATCTTAGATACCACCCATCACCCTGTACCTTGTGTTTTGATTAGATCATCTCTATCCACCATTCTGTCATTTTAGACCCTTTCTTGAACCTGAGTCTGTATCCATGAGGAGTGAGTACCAAGGTCTTTTCTAATGAGCTGGTGAGATCATGTGCTTTCTAGTACCAATGATTGCTCTGCAGTCGGTACCTAGCACCGATGAGTGTTTTGCACTCTCAGCCCTGTGCGTGCCAAGTTCTGTGAGCGGGGGCCTTCCTTCTATTTGTCTATTTTTACTGAAGCCAATGATTTTTATTCATCATTTATTGTGTGCTGTTATAATTAATCAATATGCTATGTGATGTATTAACATTGTCTCCTAATGACTGAAGTTGTAGGGTTACAGAAATATCGCATTAATTAAGAGTGAGAAGGGATTGTTATTTATCTAAGAATGTAGGATTGAATGGAACCTACCAGATTTCAGTTTAACTATTTCAGTCTTTAGACATAAGAAATGCTGATATAAGTACGGGACCAAAAGAACAACTCAATGCTCTAGTGTTATGGAGAAAGAGGAACCAAGTAGTTATATTGTGAAAAAATTAACTGGAAGATTAATTTCAAACCATAATGATGCTGTAATGGCACATCTGTTTCCAGCTTCCGCCTTAGCCACATGATTCTAAAGAAAAAGATTATTAGCAATTATGAAGAAAGGGAAAGAAAATAAGATCCAGAATAGCTTACTGCCCCTGTATAAAACTATGGTACACCCACATCTTGAATACTGTGTACAGAAGTGGTCTCCTCACCTCAAAAAAGATATTTTGGCCTTAGAAAGGGTTCAGAAAAAGGCAACTAAAATGATTAGGGGTTTGGAAAGGGTCTCATATGAGGAGAGGTTAAAGTGACTGGGACTTTTCAGTTTAGAAAAGAGGAGACTGAGGAGGGATATGATAGAGGTCTATAAAATCATGAGTGGTATGGAGGGGGTGAATAAAGAACAGTTATTTATTAGTTCCCATAATAGAAGAACTAGAGGACACCAAATGAAATTAATGGGTAGCAGGTATAAAACTAATAAAACAAAGTTCTCCTTCACACAGCGCATAGTCAACCTGTGGAACTCCTTGCCAGAGGAGGCTGTGAAGGCTAGAACTATAACAGAGGTTAAAAAGAAGCTAGATAATTTCATGGAGGTTAGGTCCATAAAAGGCTATTAGCCAGGGGATAGAATTGGTGTTCCTGGCCTCTGTTTGTCAGAGGCTGGAGAGGGATGGCATGAGACAAATCGCTTCATCATTGTCTTCGGTCCACCCCCTCTAGAGCACCTGGTGCTGGCCACTGTCGGTAGACAAGATACTGGGCTAGATGGACCTTTGGTCTGACCCAGTACGACCATTCTTATGTTCTTATTGTGCACCAATGTTAACGAGAATAAAGAGAACATCACAACCCATCCAAATCAGGGTTCCTTAAGGCTACGTCTAGACTACATGCCTCTGGCGACAGAGGCATATAGATGAGGCTACCAGGCATAGGAAAATGAAGCAGCGATTTAAATAATCGCCGCTTCATTTAAATTTACATGGCTGCCGTGCTGAGCCGATCAGCAGTTTGTCAGCTCAGCGTGGTAGTCCAGACACGCGGATGTCGACATCAAAGGCATTTGTCGACCACCCAGGTATGCCTCCTGGGATGAAGTTTACCTGGGTGGTCGACAAATGCTTTTGATGTCGACACCCGCGCATCCAGACTACAGCGCTGAGCCGACAAACAGCTGATTGGCTCAGCGCGACAGCCATGTACATTTAAATGAAGCGGCGATTATTTAAATCCAAACTTAAATTATTTAAGTTTGTGCATGTTTGGATAGTCACAACTTTCTGTGTATAATGAATAAAACATGTCAAAGGGATTAGGCCTTGTACTTGTGTGGTCACTGCCCTTGCTTTTTATGTTCCTGGAGACTGAAAATCTGAAGCAAGTAACAGAAGTGGCTTTCACTGTGTTAAGCATTAAACAGTAGTCACCAGCGCCCAATAAACAATTGTGTAACACCACATGACAGACAGCACTTTAAATCATATGAAAGGCCATTTTATACTCTCTCTCTCTCTCTCTCTCTCTCTCTCTCTCCTCTGTACCGCCAAACATTAAGCAATAACAATGTTGTAATTTTCAAGTCATTTCCCAAAGGAACATACTGCTGCTTCTCTCCTCACTGGGGAGTTGGCCGTGTCTTACGTTGAAATACATCTGGTACCGCCAATGCCTGCACTCACCAAGGTAGATGGATCACGACCCTGATCCAGTAATTCAGCATTCCCTCTGTCACTATATTCAATGTGACTAACAGTGACTAATGGTCATTCTCAAAAAGCCAAGGGTTAGATGAAAATCGTTGAGTTGGGCTTGGTCCTGCTTGGGGTAGGGGGCTGGACTCGGTGACTCCTGAGGTCTCTGCCAGCCCAGGGATTCCAAGATTCGATGGTTACAAGATGATGCCCTGGCAAAAATCTCTTTAAGGAAGCTCTTAGCTCCGAAGTAAACAGTGAGTATTGGCTGCTGGCAGCATCCCAGGGTGCTGGGTGTGGGTTGCCTGTGAGTGAGCACATGCTGTCTACGGTTAGGAATACACCCTATAAAAGAACCGATGGCTTGGGCAGAAAGGCAGAAGTCAGGCAGGTGCTGGCAGAAAAGCTGCTGGAGAGAAGTTTTAAGCTTTTGAGAGACCCGAAAGCAGAACTGACTGACCGGAGCTGACTTGGAAGCAGCAGCTGCTGCAAGCAAATAGCATGGCAAAGCCAACGGAGAGAGTAAGCCGGCTACTTTTAAATTGTATTAGAGCGTGGAAGACAAGAGCTGTCACCAGTGATTTGCTGCAGCCCAGTCCTCTGTAGCAAAGCCCACGGCCAAGAGTCATTTCAACTCTGCCTCTTGCGGGATCAATGGTCCTTCTTTCAAAGTAAGGGGAAGGTCTCTGGGCTTGAGGGGGAGAGTATGCCAGGCAGGGAACCCAAGGGACATCGATATGAACAGGCTGGGTCTTAGAAAGAAATGGGGCCGTCACTATCGGAAGGTAACGTACACGTCTGCCAAGCCGATTCATTTATTACTCTGGAGGGTCATCGCTCAGGCAAGACAGACTAAGAGGGGGCTCAGCTGGTTGTTTGGGGCACTCAGGGCCTGTTTGTCAGGGTTACAGAATCGCTCTAGGTGTTTATCCTGCCATCCACTGATAAGGACAAGGGCCAGCTGTGTTCCACACGGCTTCTGTCTTGGGCCAGTTCCACGCGTGTGCTCTCCAGAAGCTCTGTCAGAGCTAGGGCCAAGCACAGCATGGGACTGGGATGATTTTGATTGTTTATAAATAGTTGGAGCTGTGGGAACATATGAGGTCTTTGTTCTGTTGAGTCAAGAGGGGAATACATTACTAAAGTGGCTAGAGTTTTCAGCAGCTCCTATAAGTGTTGGAAAAAGTAATCAAGCTGGCTTGAAAATCTCATGATCTACCTACCTACCTACCCACCTACCTACCCACCTACCTACCTTTCTATCTACTTACCTACCTCGCTAGTAATTAAGCTGCCTTGAAAATCTCTTCATCTTTTGAGCTACCTACCTACCTACTTTCTATCTTCCATTGTTTGTATATTTTTATCATCTCTTTGTCTGTATTTCTATGTCTTTTATATATAGATCTTGAATGATCTGTCTGTCTGTCTGTCTGTCTCCCTATCTATCTTTGTTGACTATAGTTAAGTTAAAAGGATTGGAAGTGTGCCAAGGTAGAACTTCTCTGTTCTTTTATAGAAAGAGGGAAGTTAATTTCTCATCTGTCTAGAATTTCCTACAGTATCTATTAGAGATGGGTTCACAAATGTGATTGAAATTCAAAAGGAGTTGAGAAGGGAAAAAAAAAAGGCTTATCTTCTACATCCTGGGAGCTCTCTCTCTCTCTCGCTCTCTCTCTCTCTCCAATCTTTTATTTGTCTATTTTCTACTGAAGCCAATGATTTGTGTTGATTGTTCATTTATTGTGCACTGTTGTAATTACCTAATATGCTGTTATAATTAATCAATATGCTATGTGATGTATTATCATTGTCTCCTAATGACTGAAGTTGTAGGATTATAGAAATATGAGATTAATTAACAGTTAGAAGGGATTGTTATTTATCTAAGTATGTAGGATTGAACGGAGCCTACCATTTTTTGAGTATTTCAGATCTTTTGAAATGGAGCATTTCAGTCAAAGGATCCCTATCTTGACCGTAGGTTTTTTTTTTTTTTTTTTTAAGTCATGGACGCTATTATGTAAATGAAGTGCAGGAAATTCAAATTCCGGCTTCATTTGCAATTTCGATATGTCTAATTTACATCCCTTAATGAAAAAGGGATGTAGTTTAAACATACCCTAATTAAGTAGCATTGAACAGAGCCTCCCAGATTTCAGCTTAATTATTCTATGCTTTGGGCTGAAGAAATGCTGACATAAGTAGGTGACCGAAGAATAACCCAATGCCCTAGATTTAAGCAGAAAGAGGAATCAAGTGGTTATATTGTGAAAAATTACCCGGAAGAATAATTTTAAACTTAAAAATACTGTAAAGGGTCATGTAATACAAACTGTGCCACGATGCTAATGAGAGCAAAGAGAACTTTGCACTCTATAGAAATTGGTGTCTCTTAAGTTTCTAAGACCAGTAAGAAAGAAGAGGATTGACATTTTTAGGCAGGTGCATAGACTGGAGGTATAGACAGAATCACATTATTAAAAAAGTGCTCAGAATGGGAAAAATGAGGGCCTAGGCAGGCGTGAAGTTTGTGCATGCTTGGATTATCATACCTTTATGCGTAAAAATTATAAAATTTATAAAAGAGATTAGACCCTGTGAATGCCTGTGTGGTCACGACCCTAACTCTTTGGCTACGTCTAGACTGGCCCCTTCTCCGGAAGAGGCATGCAAAGCAGGCAAGTCAGAATAGGGAAATCCACGGGGGATTTAAATATCCCCTGCGGGATTTAAATAAACATGGCAACCGCTTTTTTTCCAGCTTGGGGAAAAGCCGGAAAAGAGCGTCTAGACTGGCGCGATTCTCCGGAATAAAGCCCTTTTCCGGAGGATCTCTTATTCCTACTTGCAAGAGATCCTCCGGAAAAGGGCTTTATTCCGGAGGATCGCGCCAGTCTAGATGCTCTTTTCTTGCTTTTCCCCAAGCCGGAAAAAAAGCGGCGGCTATGTTTATTTAAATCCCGCGGGGGATATTTAAATCCCCCGTGGATTTCCCTATTCTGACTTGCCTGCTTTGCATGCCTCTTCCGGAGAAGGGGCCAGTCTAGACGTAGCCTTTATGTTCTGAGAGACTGGAAATCAGAAGCAAGTAACAGAAGTGACTTACACTGTGTTAAGCATTAAACTGTAATCACCAAAGCCCAACCAACAGGGGTGTAACGCCACATTACAGACACCACTTTAAACCATAAAAAAGGCTACTTTACGCTCTCTCTCTCTCTCTCTCTCTCTCTCTCTCTCTCTTTCCTGTATCTCCAATCATTAGGCAATTATATTGTAATTTTCAAGACATTTTCCAAAGGTACGTATTATTCTTTCTCATCTCACTGTGACTTTGCTGCCTCTTAATCTGAAATAATCTGGTACTGGCCCATGTCTATAGTCATAGAAGTGGAAGAACCTTGACTCTGATGCAGAGCTTTCTTGCCCAAGAGCGTCCATGCAGTGTGCATGCTGTCTTGCGCAAAAGCACATCACTTTCGCGATGCACTTTGAGGTGTGGCTGCGCTCTTGCCCAAGACGTTTCTGCACAGAAACTCTTGCGCAAAAGGTTTCTTGATCAACAAGCCTCTGGTATAGACATAGCCCAAGGCTACACTGTAGCCTTCTTACGGAAAACCATGCTGTGCTTCATTTGCATAATTAATTAGCAGCCCCTTTTGCACAAGAGGCTTCTGCACAAAAAGGAGCCGTCTACACAGGGAGGGAGCATAGAAAAAGAAGCAGATCCCTTCAGTGGGGGCTGTTGAGGAGGGCTCCAGTTGGGATAATGTAAGTGAGCAGTGTTAAGGGTAGTTCAGGAACCTAATGGCTCTTTGATATGGTCAATGATCTCTTAAGAGGTGTGTTTTTCTGAGGGACCAGTCCTTAAGAAGGTCTGAGAGTCCCCTGCAAAGACATGCACCTGGAAGTGTCCATGAGTTTCTCTGCTGTTTTCTTTGTAGTTGTTGACCTGCTGGTCCCAGGAGACTGGATTTGGAACGATTTCTTGCAACACGTGTTAACTCCTTTATGCTTAACAAGCTGGGCCACCATGTACTGATCTGTGATGCTCTCAGTCCCTTTCTGAGATCTGGAGAAGAGCTCTGTGATCTTTGGAAGCTTCTTTCTTTCACCAACAGATATTTGTCCCTCAACCGCTTTGACTCTCTTTCTCCTCCCTGAGTTTTCCCCTCTGTTGTTTCAATATAAGAGGTGTGAAATCTCTCTAAACAGGTTCCACCTTGACAAAGCCCTGGCCAGGTTGGTTTAGTTGGGATTGCCTTGGGCAGGGGGCTGGACTTGATGACCTCCTGAGGTCTCTTCCAGCTCTATGATCATATGATCCGTTAATGGAATTTCTGGATCTCTATACGTTGTCCCATCCTGACAGATTTTTTGAGCACTGATACTGATACATTCTCTTGACATTCTTTCCTCCAGGGTGAAGGTAAAATCAGAATTTCCCATGAACTATCAGCAGGGGAAAAAATAGGCACAAGGAACAGAAAAGTGCGGGTGAAGAAATGCCTGGATAACCTTGGAATTCCCTGTAATCTGGTAGGTGTCCATTGATGTCTTGTTGAACACTAGAGGGATATACAGGAAATTGACAACGAGAATGATTACTGAATGCAGAGCTGGTGAAAATATGTTCTTCAGCAAGTTGTGGGTTTGGGTTTTTGTTTTGTTTACCTAGTTTATTTTTTAAGTCTTTTCGAGTAAAGCCAACTGAAACCACTCGAGGGAACGGCTAAAATTAAGTGCATGGCAAAGAGCGTTGCTGAATTCAGATGAACCTAAATACATGTTTCAATAGAAATGAAGGAAAGAGCAGTGAGTCTGTAGAGATGTCCGGTTTGGCCAAGATACATGGCAGAGAGGCATTGCTGGCTCTTGATGGCCTATGTCATAGACTCATAGACTCAGAGACTTCAAGGTCAGAAGGGACCATTATGATCATCTAGTCTGACCCCCTGCTCAGTGCAGGCCACAGAATCCCACCCACCCCCTCCTAGAATAATCCTGCCATCAAGCGCCCCTCATTGGTTGGCGCCATGGGCAGCTACCCGGCTCACCCATGTTTCTGTCCGGCCCTGAGAAAGGGAGACAGCGGAACTGGAATTCATTTGCAAATGTCGTGACAGTCTCTGCGCCAAAGGATAAATGGACACAAGTCAGACATCAGGAATGGTAACACATATAAATCTGTAGGGAACACTTTAATGGAACTGGATATTCAGGGTGTGTCCACACTGCGCCGATATTTCGAGATAACTAGCATTATTTTGATATAACAATGCACGTGTCTACACAGCCATTCTGTTGTTTTGAAATAATTTCAAAATAAGGGCCGCTTATTCCAAAATCTGTAAACCTCCTTCTACGAGGAATAACACTTTTTCCGAAATAGCTATTTCAAAATAAGGCATGTGTAGATGCTCCACTGAGGCTTTTTCGAAATACCCCCTCACCAGTGCCTCCTAGGGATGTACACCGAGATAACACGTCTACATTAGGAAAACCTGCCTAGGAGGCTTCCCTGCAATGTAGACATGATATTTCGAAATAAGCTGTTTTGGAGTATTTCTTTGGGCATAACTTATTTTGAAATAAGTGTGCCGTGTAGATGTACCCTCAGTGAGGGTATGTCTACACTACCCTCCTAGTTCGAACTAGCGGGGTAATGTAGGCATACCGCACTTGCAAATGAAGCCTGGGATTTGAATTTCCCGGGCTTCATTTGCATAAGCGGGGAGCCGCC